GGGATCCTGTCAAGAGTTTTCTTGGTATTTACAGTGTCCATCAAGGAGAGGTTAAGTCTGCTCAGGATGTTCTGGTCCTTAGTGAGCTCATCCTGAGCACAGTGAGCTCGGCTACATCTGTATCCTGCATGTCCACCTCCTGTTTGCAGCTTTCTCTGATTACATACACAACCAGACCCACACAGATGAAAATGAGGAGGATTATTCCTATTACCTAGAAAGAGACAAGTAGGATTAGCCAACAAACACACAAATGAAGCTGCATGAAGAGCTTTCATTATGTTATGATGACAGACATGTCTAACATAGTAATTACTTTGGAACCAACATTTTTCCCTCTACTCTCAACACAACATCAACAATCTGTGCATATTCAACTCACCTGAGAAAACACAAACAGCCGCTGTGAGCGGAGCATTAATTCCTGTGTGGTGACATCTCCCTCTCTAATTGGTTCACACCATTTCTGTGGAGCTGCCTTGTCCACAAGCACAAATCTTCCCTCCCAGTCTGTCATAGCGCAGGCAAAGTACTGGCCATCCAGGAACAACAAAATCAGCCAAATGACGGCGGGAACAAAACTGGAGAGGGAAACCATTTCCCTGCACCATGCGCTGCACCTGCATCCTTGGACAATTTGCATCAAGGTGAAGGCCATGACAGCAGGAATGATGAAGAATGCTGAGGAAAAAGCTCCATTCCACGTAGGGTTGCAAGGGCACTCAAACTCCAGCTCCACGAGCTTCTCTAGTCCCATGAGGATGAACCCAAAAGCCACATTTGATACCAGAGGGCTGTTGCTAAGTTCATTTTTCAGCCTGCTAAGCCATTGTTGTCTGCTTTCCATACTAAACTAATAAACTAAGAATGAAGTCAGCCGCTCCAAAAGCCCAAAAGATAGTCCCCCGTTGTGAACACATTGGCAGTCTTAGTGATGCGTAATTAATCTATCTAGGGGTAAGTTTTACCCTGAGGCAAAATGCCACACTTCCACTCTGATTGGCTTTGAACAAAGGAGGGTGTGCCGTTTGCTCTGACCTTTCTCTAGCTCATTGGTCTCTGTGAGATTTCAGGTGGGGTTACATTTTAAATAAGGTCTTCCGTAGATAAGGGAGGAAGGGCTGTAAAGTGGAGGGAAGTTTGTTCTGTAGTGGCATAAACAAATGTTTTTTTAAACAGTCGGGCAAATAATCACGCCAGAAATGTGCTTATTAGCCTAGAAGCAAACTATAGGCTAAGGAAATCAAAATACAGCTTAAATGAAAAAAGGAAAAATGAAAAGAAACAACAACAATGTTAATAAAGACTTTTCCTTGACAGCAAACTAGAGCCAGAGTCAGGTTTCATGTTTGAGTGCACAAACTTTGTTTTTAAAGGGGATGCTGAAATGTTTTCTAAAAATAAAAGTTTAAATATTAGAATTCCAACAAATTGTCAAAATAAAAAAAAAATCAGACATACATGGCTCAAATGTTTTTTTCTGTCCTTTTAAGCCAATTTGAATATTTAAAAACAATAGTTGGCTATGAAATTATCGCAGATATACTAAGTGATATTTCTGGATGGATGGATGGATGGATGGATGGATGGATGGATGGATGGATGGATGGATGGATGGATGGATGGATGGATGGATGGATGGATGGATGG